TATGCATATAGATCCAGAGAGAGAGAGGGAGAGACAGAGTGAGAGAGCAAAAATATCGACTAAATATATTTCATAATTGTATAATACAGTATGTAGGATGTGACTGACGATTGGTAGTCTGATTTTCAATAAGGTCATTTGAATAATTATTCTGAAGATTTTCTTTCATTTAAAGCTTCATTCATAGTCTGATGTCTCGTAAGATTTCGGCAAAATTATCATACGATATTATGAAATGAATAGATTCTTAATTACAATACGAATCACAAGGTTTGTCACTGGACAATGTTATTCTGAATGATATTGTTGTTTGTTGGATTATTGGATGGTTATCCAAAGCCATCGTGATTGTTTACAACAGTAAAGGGTGATATGGAACTTGGTGTTGAGAAACTATAAACATTGTTTAAATTTGTTGTTTTCCATTCCTTTTATGATTTGTAAATAAACATTTTCCATTTGAATTTGATCGAGTGAAAGCGTGATAGCCGAATACGGTTGTTGACTTACATATTTACGCCAGTTACTCCTAATGGGGCATAGGTCACAGATCAGCATTCTACAATCCACTCTGTCGTGGGCTTACTTTTTAGTTCTATCCAATTGTTGTTCATTCTTCTCATGTGTGTCTCCGTTTCTCGGCGTAATGTGTTCTTTGGTCGCTCCTCCGACGTTCATTTGTCAGCAAACAGCATTACAGCTTTATTCTGAAAACGTATAGAATGTCTCATTGCTTTTATACGAACATTCGTCAATATAAGAATGAATGGTTTGACAAGAATTGAACGTCAGGTGAAGAAAAGTAACTTTGAGTGAAAATTATGTTGTGAAATAATCTCAGTGATTTAAGTTTAAATAACTCCAACGTTTCGTCCAACAAACTAATCTGGACTTTTCGGGGTAATAATCAGAATCTCAATAGTTGAGATCATGAGTCGATTGAAGGTAGACCACCCCAGGGGTTAATCTGTCCATAAGTAGTCTGTACTCGAACAGATTTTTAGACTAACAACTATCGCTGATGAAACTGACACATATTTAAAACAAATATTCAACTCTTTTTGGTTACTTCACTTAGCTAAATTATAAATTTGCAACTTCAGGACCATGTCTCTTAGCTGAAATTCTTCATGTGGTTCTCCTCATATTGAAGCATTCTCTGAGTTACGCGAAACAAACTGAAGGACATCGATAATCAGAAATACCACTAGAAATCTTTCCAACTGTACTTAGTTTACCTACACAATACCACTCATATACAAATCTTGAATTTCACTCATCTATAAAACGTGCTTGATTAGTGTTTTCTTGATCATGTACTCCGTATTCCCTCTTCTAAACCATCAGATTTGCCGACGTATCTTGAGTTTTCCTCAGATCACTACAACATGCTTACTATCTTTTAATGGCATCGATCACTTGAGGCCTTGAGGTTAATTCGCAACATGAGTAAGTAAACAGAAAAACGATCAGAGATTTCCAATGTGAAAAATGAGTTGGGTTGTCAAAGTTTTCACCTTCACTGTCAACGTGAGTGATCTACACGAGCCCCATCTCCTGATTTTCTCAGGTAAGCTCTCATTTCGGACCGCGTTCAATGCAGCCTTGTCTCTTTGTCACTAAAGATTCACTGAAGAGTCTTTCACCAGTTTATAAAGTCACCCGTTTTGAAAGATGCAGCATTTTTTCAAACGGTTCTCCTTCTCATATACCTGTAGATTTTTTAACCGTGTTTTTGTATATCTTAACGTGAAATAGTATATTAGTTACGGATTTAAATCATTTTAAATCTTCCGTAACTTTGCCTAGAGCTCTTCTATTGTCAGTGCCTGTCTCAAGCTTGAGGAAAAAATAGGGTTGTGCATGTGGTCAGCAATCTCATACATTAGAAAACAATTTTCCTAAAGAGACGCTAACCAGAATAAATAAGTTGAAGCATTTAGAATCCGTTCTCGAAGTCGTGGGATCTCCATTCAGGAAAACTCTGATGCTTCATGGTGAAATATGAGATTCTTCGGAAATCAGACAAAGAGAGGCACTGTGGCTGGCCGGTGTCATGAATTGGGCGAAGTGTTGAAGTGACACGGAAAGGAGTGAGAATGTGGAGAGTGTGACGTGGTGGTTGTGTTGTTGTTGATGATTGGCCGTGATTGTATGATCGTGGTAGTATGTATGCGATTGTCGGGAGTATGTGATGTGATACGGTGATGGGGTTGATTGTGAACAGATATGTTGCTGGTGGGATTCTATTCAACAACCATTTCAGACCAGTGCCCAAATCCAACGCCGTAGGCAGCCCGATCACACGAAAAATGATCGACAACACAGAACACTAATTCGTCAGTATCACCGCTCAATTTCCCCCTCATCCAAATACACTGTACTGTTCAGAACAACACTACACAGTACACAATACATACAGACGTACACGCACATGCACATGCACTATCAACATCGAACCAAATCAGTCGGTCAGAACACCTGACGGAAATCATCTCCTTCTCACTCACTGACCATACACGACAATAGTTCGGTACATTGAGACGATGTTGTCTGTGAATGGGACTAAGAAAGGGACTGTGACTGGTCGGTGTTGTGAATTGAACGAAATAACTGCAAAGATGCATTAGTTGGGCACAACATGCACAAGGACGGAAGCGAGACCCTCAACTGCAACATGGAGAACACCAACCCAATCACACTTGGTGGGGAAGATCTGGTATTGGTGGAGACTTTTACATACATAGGGAGACTTATCGACGGTCAAAGAGTGTCTGATGCAGATGTAAGAGCAAGAATTGTCAAAACAAGGGCCATATTCCTACAGTTGAAAAACATCTGGAACTCAAAACAACCGTCAGACAACATGAAAGTCAGAATCTTCAAGACTCTTCAATAATCGTCAAGACAATTCTATTGTACGGAGCTGAAACTTGGAGAACTACTACAACCATCATCAAATGGTACAAGAATTTGCAAACATTTGTCTACCGAAGATACTCAATATCCGTTGACCAGATATCATCAGCAACAACCCACTATGGGAGAGGACAAACCAGCTTCGAGCTGAAGAGGAAATTAGAAAACGACGTTGGAAGTAAACAAGGATACACACTGAGGGAATCATTAAACTGAATCATAAGGCAAGCACTAACTTGGAATCCTGAAAAGAAACGGAATAAAAGAAGATGAAAGAACACTGCTGGATGGATTGGCAGCAGACATGTAAATGATGAATAGCAACTGGTTACAACTGGATAGGAGTGCTCAGGATAAAAATCGATGGAGAGTCCTGACGGTTAGCACATGCTATTCCTCGAAAGTTGACAAGCATAAGTAAGTTAGTATCTAACTCCATATTCTTAGTATTTTACACCACACGCAGTTCATATCTCCTTATTAAGTAACATCCATATTTCGTGCCTCAAGGCAACCCTCGTGCTATTGACAGAAGAAACCAGACAAGTAGTGAATAGGTCTTTATTTCGATCTTCGCGCAGTCACAGTGGAGCGTGGGATTATCTCTTCAGACAAACAAAGGCTCTCAACATTCAACATAAGATAATAGGGAATATAACGCTTATAAAAAATAAGGAAGTGAATGAATACTTGAACAATACTGTTTTGGCATATGCTTGGTTGTTTGGGGTCAACTCTTAACCAACCAACCTGAGCTGTTACATTAGCTTCCTCCAGAATCGACTTCCGTAGGAACGTCGGTTCGATTAACCTATCTATCGAAAACACCTTAGTTCTATTTCTCATCCCAAGGGAAAATTATCAACTCGCTCACTATTTGACTTACAATCAGTGACGACTAACGCTGTCAACGATAGTCCATGGATGTCTCCTCATTTACTAGCTTGTCATCTTATTTTGTAGCATGTGATCTATTCTACAACTATCGCTGACGGTTTGCTGCGTGCTTTCAAGAGAAAGAGTGTGAGAATGTGGAGTAAGAATATCTGAGGAAGTGCCGCGTTTCTCAGGCCGAATGGCATGCGTACAAACTCGAATAAGCCAAAGGGTGTAGTAATAGCTGTCTTGGGAATATCTTCATCAGCCACTGGGATATTGTGATATGCCCTGACTAAGTCAATTTTAGTGAATATGTTCATACCCTGTAAACCGTTTGTGAAATCTTGGATATGAGGTATTGGGTACCTATCTGGTACGGTTTGACGGTTTAGGGCTCTGTAATCCCCGCACGGTCGCCAGTCACCTTCATTCTTCTTTGGGACCATATGCAAAGGGGATGCCCATTGACTATCAGAGGGACGGATAATACCCAGTTGTAGCATATAATCAAACTCGGCCCTAGCGATTTTGAGCTTATCTGGTGCTAGTCTCCTGGGTTTTGCAAACACCGGTGCACCTTCGGTTTTGATAGTGTGACTTACTTTTAGTTTGTCTTTGGAAGGCTGTGGGTTTGGTTTAGTTAAGTTTGGAAATTCCGCGAGTATATCTTGGAATTTCGCTGTTGTTACTGGAGGGGTTTGAATCAAGTTAAGAGAGCTGATGTGACTTTCTTTGCCTTTTGTGTAATACGAAGTTTCTTTTAGTGTTAATCGCCGTTTCTTGGTGTCAACTAGAAATTCGTATCTCTCTAGAAAGTCCATCCCCAGTATTGCCAGATCTAAGTCGGCTACCGTGAAAACCCAAGGGAATTGCCTCCTGAACCCCAAATCTAGGGTTAAAGTTTTCTGCCCAAATGTCGCGATTTTAGTTTTATTTGCAGCTTGAAGTGTAATTGATGATGTTTCTCGACTAATCTCAGTTTTATTTTGAGGGATGATGCTAAGAGCAGCGCCAGTATCCACCAAGAAATTCAAGCCAGAGTTTCTGTCTCTAACATAAAACAAGCGACTGTTTAGGCGCCCCTCCTCAGTCGTCGCGACCTGGGGAGGGGTTACTCGTTTCCCGCTGTCTTAGAATTATGCTTAGGCCAGGCGCATGGTTGCATGCACTTGGTTGAGTTGACACCAAACTTCCAGTGGTACCAACAAAACTGCCCAGATTGTCTGGACATTTGTGACCTGTTTTGTGACTTGGATCGTGGTCGTTGTGGTGACCTGCTCCTGTTTCTATGACCCATTTGCATTCTGGTGACAGCCTCAGTGAGACTCTTAACACTCGCAATGAGTCCTTCTATTACGGGGTCTTTTGCTGATTCTACTTTTTGTGTGTGATTTATTGTGCCTGATCCAGTTGGAGGACCTCTTTCCATTATTCTGTCGGCTATACGCGCTAAATGAGATAATGAGGTTTCAGGATCTTGTGCATCCAAACAGTGTTGGACGTAGCATGGGAGAGCTTGTATCCATCCTTGTTTTAGGACTGCTTCACCCACTGTGTTATCACCCACTAAGACTTGGAGGTGACGTAAAAACTGTGACGGCGACCGATCACCTAGTGTTTCACCTTGAAAAAGTCTTTGGATTCTTTGACTATCTGATAATGATAAACGGTTCATTATCTCTCGTCTTAAGATGGTGTATGGTTGTGGTGATGGTGGATCTAAAATCAAGTCACGGACTTCTTTGGCGACTGAAGGAGGAAGGATAGAACACAAGTCTCTATAGCGAATCCCTTCAGATTTGATATTGTGTCTCGTGAAATAATGCTCTAGTTGAGCAAACCACAACTCAGGATCACTACGATCAAATTCTGGAAGTCGGGATTTCGTAGTCATAACAGTGTCTATCTCCACTGGTGACAAATCCTCCAGATTATGGGTTTCTATTGAGTCTGACATGAGGTATGTGACAAATATAGCAATAAAGTTAGCACGAAAAATGGTTACTATAACACGAATAACTTAAGATAATACGGAATAAACTAGTTATATACTCAAATTAGTTTACGGATAATCAGGTCTACTTTTACGATTAAGTAAAAAAAATGTTAATAACAGAAATGAGGTTAAATTTGTGTTCAAAAAGGGCTCACCAGTTTCGTGCCTTAAGGTAACCCTCGTGCTATTGACAGAAGAAACCAGACAAGTAGTGAATAGGTCTTTATTTCGATCTTCGCGCAGTCACAGTGGAGCGTGGGATTATCTGTTCAGACAAACAAAGGCTCTCAACATTCAATATAAGATAATAGGGAATATAACGCTTATAAAAAATAAGGAAGTGAATGAATACTTGAACAATACTGTTTTGGCATATGCTTGGTTGTTTGGGGTCAACTCTTAACCAACCAACCTAAGCTGTTACATTAGCTTCCCCCTAGAATCGACTTCCGTAGGAACGTCGGTTCGATTAACCTATCTATCGAAAACACCTTAGTTCTATTTCTCATCCCAAGGGAAAATTATCAACTCGCTCACTATTTGACTTACAATCAGTGACGACTAACGCTGTCAACGATAGTCCATGGATGTCTCTTCATTTACTAGCTTGTCATCTTATTTTGTAGCATGTGATCTATTCTACAACTATCGCTGACGGTTTGCTGCGTGCTTTCAAGAGAAAGAGTGTGAGAATGTGGAATAAGAATATCTGAGGAAGTGCCGCGTTTCTCAGGCCGAATGGCATGCGTACAAACTCGAATAAGCCAAAGGGTGTAGTAATAGCTGTCTTGGGAATATCTTCATCAGCCACCGGGATATTGTGATATGCCCTGACTAAGTCAATTTTAGTGAATATGTTCATACCCTGTAAACCGTTGGTGAAATCTTGGATATGAGGTATTGGGTACCTATCTGGTACGGTTTGACGGTTTAGGGCTCTGTAATCCCCGCACGGTCGCCAGTCACCTTCATTCTTCTTTGGGACCATATGCAAAGGGGATGCCCATTGACTATCAGAGGGACGGATAATACCCAATTGTAGCATATAATCAAACTCGGCCCTAGCGATTTTGAGCTTATCTGGTGCTAGTCTCCTGGGTTTTGCAAACACCGGTGCACCTTCGGTTTTGATAGTGTGACTTACTTTTAGTTTGTCTTTAGAAGGCTGTGGGTTTGGTTTAGTTAAGTTTGGAAATTCCGCGAGTATATCTTGGAATTTCGCTGTTGTTACTGGAGGAGTTTGAATCAAGTTAAGAGAGCTGATGTGACTTTCTTTGCCTTTTGTGTAATACGAAGTTTCTTTTAGTGTTAATCGCCGTTTCTTGGTGTCAACTAGAAATTCGTATCTCTCTAGAAAGTCCATCCCCAGTATTGCCAGATCTAAGTCGGCTACCGTGAAAACCCAAGGGAATTGCCTCCTGAACCCCAAATCTAGGGTTAAAGTTTTCTGCCCAAATGTCGCGATTTTAGTTTTATTTGCAGCTTGAAGTGTAATTGATGATGTTTCTCGACTAATCTCAGTTTTATTTTGAGGGATGATGCTAAGAGCAGCGCCAGTATCCACCAAGAAATTCAAGCCAGAGTTTCTGTCTCTAACATAAAACAAGCGACTGTTTAGGCGCCCCTCCTCAGTCGTCGCGACCTGGGGAGGGGTTACTCGTTTCCCGCTGTCTTAGAATTATGCTTAGGCCAGGCGCATGGTTGCATGCACTTGGTTGAGTTGACACCAAACTTCCAGTGGTACCAACAAAACTGCCCAGATTGTCTGGACATTTGTGACCTGTTTTGTGACTTGGATCGTGGTCGTTGTGGTGACCTGCTCCTGTTTCTATGACCCATTTGCATTCTGGTGACAGCCTCAGTGAGACTCTTAACACTCGCAATGAGTCCTTCTATTACGGGGTCTTTTGCTGATTCTACTTTTTGTGTGTGATTTATTGTGCCTGATCCAGTTGGAGGACCTCTTTCCATTATTCTGTCGGCTATACGCGCTAAATGAGATAATGAGGTTTCAGGATCTTGTGCATCCAAACAGTGTTGGACGTAGCATGGGAGAGCTTGTATCCATCCTTGTTTTAGGACTGCTTCACCCACTGTGTTATCACCCACTAAGACTTGGAGGTGACGTAAAAACTGTGCCGGTGACCGATCACCTAGTGTTTCACCTTGAGAAAGTCTTTGGATTCTTTGACTACCTGATAATGATAAACGGTTCATTATCTCTCGTCTTAAGATGGTGTATGGTTGTGGTGATGGTGGATCTAAAATCAAGTCACGGACTTCTTTGGCGACTGAAGGAGGAAGGATAGAACACAAGTCTCTATAGCGAATCCCTTCAGATTTGATATTGTGTCTCGTGAAATAATGCTCTAGTTGAGCAAACCACAACTCAGGATCACTACGATCAAATTCTGGAAGTCGGGATTTCGTAGTCATAACAGTGTCTATCTCCACTGGTGACAAATCCTCCAGATTATGGGTTTCTATTGAGTCTGACATGAGGTATGTGACAAATATAGCAATAAAGTTAGCACGAAAAATGGTTACTATAACACGAATAACTTAAGATAATACGGAATAAACTAGTTATATACTCAACTTAGTTTACGGATAATCAGGTCTACTTTTACGATTAAGTAAAAAAAATGTTAATAACAGAAATGAGGTTAAATTTGTGTTCAAAAAGGGCTCACCAGTTTCGTGCCTTAAGGTAACCCTCGTGCTATTGATAGAAGAAACCAGACAAGTAGTGAATAGGTCTTTATTTCGATCTTCGCGCAGTCACAGTGGAGCGTGGGATTATCTGTTCAGACAAACAAAGGCTCTCAACATTCAACATAAGATAATAGGGAATATAACGCTTATAAAAAATAAGGAAGTGAATGAATACTTGAACAATACTGTTTTGGCATATGCTTGGTTGTTTGGGGTCAACTCTTAACCAACCAACCTGAGCTGTTACACATATACTACGTTAATAATATGAATTCCTGCCATCCACACTAAAGATAGCCTATTGTGTTTGATTTCTTTGCACAATGCCACCTATACATCTAATGTAGTGACATTAAATTTTGCGTGTAAACTTGCAGTGCAAGGATGTTCATGCACTTTTACTAAGCAGCATTTTTGATAAGTTTCTCCATAATCTAAGTGATTTTGAGGTTGGTGTTATAGTTTTATAGACTAACCATTCGATTAGCTTGATGTTAACATGCTTATTATGGTATAGAGTCTGTATTTCTCAAAGTCACTTAGAGCCGAGTTGTTGTCCACCTTACAGGTGTTTATATCGAATGACATTTTGGTTGATCACATATGAAATTAAGCGAATATTACTGTTAGGCTCGCCATGTGCGTGTATAGTCTATTGGTTGGACATATTGGACAGCAAATAGGTGAACAATGGTCCGGGTGAGTACAGGGACAGCAGTTCTATCACGAAACTTGCGCTCTTACGCGACGTTCTGTGATCTCAAGTTATTCAGACATTGGAAAAAATCAATACATCTGGTCGGGATTACTGACTGATGTCCAAACCTAAGAAGCTTCTGTTGCTTGCATACACCATAAGTCATTATTGTGTTTAACGAAACGATCGTGATGACTGTCTTTAAAGTTCGCAAATTTCTGATGGAAATACAGTGATCAGTAAAATGAGTGAAGGTAATAACGACCACAATGATAATGTGTGAATCCAACTTATTTGCATGGTAGCTTTTAACTTGTCCTATGACTGACAAAGCCCAATCAACAATCGTCATGTCTTGGTTCTACATTTACAAACGTTTAGACAGACTCTCAACACTCGTAGGGGAAGGACTAAGTTAAGGGCTATCTGAAATTGAAGTTTACTCATGATGGCGAAAAGTGGGTTCGTATACCAAAGTGTCATAATAAGATTCACCGAAGTCACTTTCCTGTGCACAGGGAGCCTAGTTTTGTTAATACTAACCCGGAAGTTAGCTAAATATTTCCCATGTCATTAACCGGAAATGTCTCATGTTTGCGGGTTACTGGTTTATTTGATCATAAGAGATCTCCATAATATCTTATTTGGTAAGGTCTTCTCCACTTGTCACTTAAAGTGCACAAATCCACTGCTTTGTAGGTCAGCTTGTATTTCGGGGGGTTGCTTCACTATGGAATGTCAGCTGTCACTTCGAACTTTGGTGTTGCATGTGCTTCTCAACGCTAAGTATGAGCTATGATCAAGACCATTTAGGAAGCTTTTCAACATTTGCTAGGCTCTCTCGTTAGCCTGTAGCAGGCGTTCTGTGCCTTTCTCAACTCTGGATCTTCTCCCCAGGTGTATGCTTTGCTAATGTTTGATTTTCCAAGAAAACATTCTGAACGATATGCATCACTATCTCGTAGTGGTCACCCATTGAGTCGAGCCTGTTAAAGATAATCTCTCATAGTCGTGCAGTGTGCTCTATTGTAGCTAAGTCAGCGAGTGTACTTATCCTTCTAAAGTGTCTCGTCCGCGACCATGATAAACATCACTGCACCATAGTAACTACTTCCCATTATCGTCCCTTTTATAAGCATTGGTTTTCATGTTTTTTACACCAACTACAGAGCAAGTAGGATATAAAAGTTAAATTATCACCTTCATTTTCCGATGAGTCGTAGTGACAGTAAAATGTGGTTGGTCACTGAACGTAGACAAAAAAGCACTTGCCTACTGACTATCAAACATGTGATTTCCTTTCGTCTCACTGATTTCTACTCTGAATGGATGAAGTATAAACTTGGGGTGATAAAAAAGCACCACGTGTTCGCCTTAGGAGCAGGTTCATCACTAATATTTGATCATACGTGTCTGTAGTGTTGTTGCTTCCTAACCACACGATCTGTGAAGCTGAACATATAATTGCTGAGAAAATTTAAATCTGACATGTGACACCAAGAGGAGGTGGACGCAAATACGATCGATCAATACAGCATGGTCGTTCTGCGTAACGTTTTCCTATGTGTTGGGGAGATCCAGAAAACTCCTCGAAGAAAGGCTATGATGGGCTCCGAAAACACCGAGAAGCATCTTATCCAATCAGCGTTCACTAGAAGTTTAGCCAGAAACATCTAGAGGTTGGAAAGGGACATTTCGAGTTCCTGGTTGAATGGTTATTACACTGGTACTATTTTAGTAGCATGCTATAACCCTCGGGAAGACCCAAGGACGTCTAATATACTATAAAAACCCTATATTTTCTGTACATAAACGAACATTTGGAGTAAAGTGTTTCTTGCATATTTCGGGCCTTTTTTCTGGTGTTCAAGTCGCTGTACGGTTCTAGCTTAGGGTTTACTAAAAAAGCTTAGGAACCGAATATAGCGCTCAATTAGCAAGAGCTTTAACTGTCCACATTAAATATATTATTCTTTCCGCAACTCAGAATGTGTTCTCCTGAAGTACTCAACCTAGACATTACCATAAATGGAGAAGTGTTATCTAGGTTACATACAGTAGTAGACTTAGGACTTAAATATTCCCAAGACTTGTCGTTTACAGAACATATATTAAAACAGACCTCCAAGTCTCAACGTCTAATAGGTTACACAACTCTAAATCTTTACAACACTGAGTCACGTATTCTAATGTACAAAGTTTGTGCTCGACTTCTAGAATATTGCACGTTTATTCTTAGCAGTGCGTTCATAAAGGATAAATTAAGGCTGGAATCAGTACAGAGACGATTTACACTTCGTATTCTTGGAGCTGATTGTAACTTAACTTATAATTCTAGATGTAATAAACTTGGGCTAGACCCTTTATGGAGGAGGAGACTCAAACTAAATCTTATCTTTTTCTTCAAACTACTTCATAAACTATCGTTTACATCCGATCACGCGATACAATATGCAGAAACCTCTCATTATGACATCCGTAATTCCTTGGCACTAGTGAAACAAACTCATTCTAAGTCATCTCTTTATATGAATTACTTCGCCTGTAAATTTTCTAGACTCTGGAATAACTTACCACAATCTATCCGCACGATAAAATCATTCCCATTATTTGTTCGCTGCATCGATTCATACTGCTCCTCTGAAAATGCATTGGATGGTCTAGCGCCTTCAAGTGTATCTCATTCCACAAGTGATATTTTAGGAACCTTAAATGTTTAGCCATCTTTATTAGTGAATTTCCTTAGTAAAACCATCCACTTGCTGTCAATATGTTAACACCGCCCCTAGCAATTTTAACTAATTTGAATAACATAAACAGTATATCACTGTGTCACATGACACACGCATTTAGGTAGACCTGATTGATATATTTTGGTAATTACTGTTTTGTTGTTCCGTGTTCTCTGTTTTCGTTTTAATTTCTCTTGTTGTAGATAATTATCATTATTTCGATCTGGCACACGAATTGACCTTAATTACACCGTTCATAAATCAACAGGCTGTCCATTTAAGAAATATTAAAAATTTTTGGCTGATGCGTTGGAACGCTGTAATATATGTACTACTTAAACAACTACTGAACTAGTATACTTAAAAATTTCTTTTATAACATGTTTGTTCTGCACGTCTAACGTTATTATTTATATCAAATTGATCATGCCTGTAAACTGGCGTGAATTCTGTAATTATTTTTTTTATTTTTCAGAATAAAATTATTATTAAGCATATTGCTGACTGTCATTACAGGGCAAGTCTGTATAGACATTGATATGACTTAAATTAGATAGTCACATAATGACAAATCTATAATTTTGAGATCAGGTATATTATTATAGTAGCGAATATAAATGTACAAGTACTGAACCAGACCATAATCCTTCATGTCTTTGAAGCATCGGCCGTGCATTTTGGAGTAAGCCATGGCTTCATCGGGAAAAGGGTACTAGGTAAAGATTAGAAGTCTGCTGAGGAGTTAGTATATCTACTGAGTTGGCTGGGACATATGTAGCTTTTGCCAATCCGCTGCCTTCCTCGATAGGCGATACTGTCTGGTTTATGATCAGGTCGGACAGAGAATACAGGAGATCAAATCAAAATTCAGCAGTAATCCATGAAGTTACTGACTTAATATCATCAATGTTGCTGGATGCAGACTACATGACGAGAGTCCACACAATTATCACAATTAGTGGTTAGACACTTCGAATGACATAGCCTGAAAATCGCTTGGGTGAACCCATTCTTTATCATCCCCTAGATTTGAAGCTTCTGAATTCTCTGTAATTTTTCCACTACTTTATACTTTATTAAATCATACCCCTGGTGCCTAATCTTCTCTGCTTCTACTAATTTCACTACGACATTCATTACTCCGGGGTTCGTCTGAAAAATATCATCATGTTATTTTCACTTGGTTTAGTAACCTGAACTGATATACATGTGTACTCGGTTCTACGTTTGCTTCAGTTTACTGGGTGATTAGGTCCGGACAGTGAGTTAAGTAGCAAGTAATGTCGAAGAAACGTGAACTTATAAGGAATGGGAAAGATGTTAATGACCACGTTTACCAACTTATCTCATGCTGTGAGACACTCCATTGGGCGCACAAAACAATTTAGTGGTAAAATAGCACAATGTCAGATTTTGATTTGTATTGGTGGGAGCCATCTCAACTATCTACAAGTTGGCTCTAGGAGAACAGCTCAGTGGAAACAAACAGCCATGTGAAATTGCATTGTGTGCATCACCCTCACAGCCAATAACCGTGATAGGCTTCTCTGTATAATTATTTGAGAGAAGTCTGGAATACAAAGTGAATACTTGTAAATTACCGTCACGAA